CTTTTTAAGTTAGAGAGGAGAGAGAGAGAGAGAGAGAGAGAGAGAGAGAGAGAGAGAGAGGAGAGAGAGAGAGAGAGAGAGAGAGAGAGAGGAGAATGCCATGTGTGTGCAATTGTCTGTTGAGACCAGAAAAGGGCATCGGATCCCCCGGAGCTGGAGTTACAGGTGGATGTAAGCCACACAATGTGAGTGCTAGGACTAGAACTCAGGTCCTCTGGGAGAGAAACAAGACCTATTGACCCCAGAACCATCTCTGCAGCTCCTTGATTTCTGTTCTTCTTGTTTCTGTATGTGTGTGTGTGTTTGTGTGTATGTATTTATGTGCATGTGCCTATGTGCATGTGGAGGCCAGGAGTTGATGTTGGGCATCTTCCTCAATCATTCTCCACCTTAAATTTTTGAGACAGAGTCTCTCATTGAACCTGGATCTCACCAATTCAGCGAGACCGGTTGACCAGAGAGTCCCAGGGAGCTCCCTGACTCACCCCCAGCACTGGGATTACAGGCCCACTGTACTGTGCTTGACTTTTTGTTTTGTTTGAGACATGGTCTCCCTGTAGCCCCAGCTGGCCTAAAACTTGCTATGTAGACCAGGCTGGCCTTGAACTCACAGAGATCTGCCTACCTCTGCCTCCTATGTGCCAGGATTAAAGGTGTGTGCCATGATACCTGGTCACACAAAGATTTTAAAAGTCAAGCAGGGCTTGAGCCGTGGCTCAGTGGTTAAAAGAACTTGCTGCTCTTGCACAGGACCAGAGTTCAGTTCCCAACACCACATGGCGCCACAAAACTGTCATCCTTCTCACTGTCAAACAGTATTTGCTGTCGCCAGCCAAATTTCGTGAGAAGGGGAAAACAAGAGTAGAAATAACCGATCTTTCTAGAGTCTAGTTTTTCTGAGCCTTGTGTCACCCAGGCTTGTAGTTTGCCATTCTAACACTAGGCGGCGCAATAACCACACGCCTTCATACACTTTCCCCGTAGCCCTAAAGAAGAATGCTAAGGGAGGCTTGATGAAGTTGGGGGACGTCAGTGACTTCCACAAAAGTACAACACTTGTGTTTTTCTCCACCACCCTGTAAGTTACCCCTAATAAACTCATTGTGCTTGTCAAGTTAGAGCGTATAAATCATTCTATTGGCTGTTGGCTCCTTCCCCCGTGTGCAGAAGACAGATGTTAATTTCACATCTTCCTGGGATAGCCCAAAGCAGGATTAAAGGAGGAGTGCATGTTACACACTTAGTACAGGGCCTGCTGCATAGACTTCTCCCTCAAGGTTGGCGTTACCATTACTCAACCTGACCGGCTCTCGGTGGGGCCTCAGTGGATACATTTATTGAATGAGTGTGAACAGTCTTCAAGAGCAGTTTTGAAGTTAGACTTCCAACTTAAAAATTCCAGAAGAGGATTGGTGAGATGGCCCAGTGTGAAAAAGTCCTTGTCACCTGACAACCAGGGTTCAGTTCCCTGCAGTCACATGGTGGAAGGAGAGAACCAACTCCCTCAAGTTGTCTTCTGACCTCCGCACATTCACCATGGTACACATGAGTTCACACACAGACCCACACAGAATAACTAAATAAATGTAAAAAGAACGGGAAAAACACGGTTGTTTAACATTAGCAAGGGTGCTCTGCTTGCTGGAGTGTGAGTGCTGGAGTGGAGTTTGTTGCACGGTCTTGCAATGTGTGTGTCCAGCCATCGGGAGGCAGCAGAGGGCAGTCAGTGAGACAGTGCCCCAGTCAGAGCTGGGTTTGCCCAGGAGTAGTTTCCTCCAGGGTGAAATAGGGACTGAGAATTCCAGCTTAGGATCACTTCTTCTGGTGCATAAACATGCTTCGAACTTGGGCAATGTAGCTCTGAAAACTTTAGGATCTACAGGGGAGGCTGGGAGTGGTGGCTTACATCTGTAATCCCAACACTTGGGAGGTGGAAGCAGGAGGATCTGCGGTTCAAGGTCATCCTCAGCTACACAGTGAGTTCCAGGACAGCCTGTGCTACTTGAAACTGTCAAAAAACAAAACAGAAAAAAAAAAAAAAAAAACCCAATGGCTCTGGAAATCCCAGCACTCAAGTACAGATATTCAGGGGCTGGTGCTGTAGCTCGATGATAGAGTGTTTGTCTCTGTTGCTCACAGCTTGCTTGATCCCCTAGCACCACACACATAAATGTAAATATACACACACACATTCCCTTTGACTCAACAGTTCCATTTGTGGCAACCTATTCAAAGGAAATAATTAGGGATGTGCACAAATATTTAGCTGCTTGGAATTTTTTTCTCGAGGGTAATGATTTGTGATAGCAAAATATTTATTGCAGCATAGAAGTTCAACAAGAAAGAGTGGTTAAGCAAATTAGAGTTCATTGATAGGATGGCTGCTTAGGCAGGCCTAAAAATAATCTTCTTGAAGAATTATGTAGTGATATGGAAAGCCGTTGGTGATGTGCATAATCTTGGTTTTAAAAGATAATCTATTTCACCCAGCTCTTTGTAGGCAGAGACAGGAGAATTAGGATTTCAAGGTCATCCTTGGTTACATAGCCAGTCTGAGGTCAAGCTAGGCTACATAAGACCCTGTCGCCAAAAAAACAAAAAATAAAACAAAACAAAACAAAAAGGCTGGAGAGATGGCTTGGTGGCATAGAGCACTGGTTGCTCTTGCAAAGGACTGGAGTTCAGTTCCCAGCACAGACACAGCAGCTAACAACCATGCATAACTCCAGTTCCAGAGGATCTGGTGCCCTCTTCTGGTCTCTGTGGGCACTGCACATGTGGTACACTTACACGCAGGCAAAACACTCATACACATTAAAAAAAAATAATGAATTAAAAACAAAACAAAAGCTAGGTATGGTGGCTCACTCCTTTAATCCCAGCGCTCCAGAGACAGAGGCAGGCAGATCTCTGTGAGTTCAAGGCTATCCCCTCCAAAAAAAAAAAAAAAATTATTGAGAAATGTGTGTTTCTGATCCAGCAGGAATGGGTGCACCGCTCAGCTTAGAACATTCTTCAAGTATGCAGGAGGCCTTGGGTTTGACCCTAGATGAGGGAGGGGGACAGAGACAAAAGCAGGTGACCAGTAAATACTCATCATCAGCCTTTCATTCATTTCCCCACACATTAACAAAATGCCTACAATGGTGCCCTGGCAGTGTGCTAGGGCAGAGGACTCACAGCAAATATTTAAAAGCACCTATAGACAGTGAAATTGCCCTCCCACCATCCCTCCAGCCAATGTGTACAAAGAGCACTTAGGTGCCAGTACTAACAGAGCACTGGGAATGCAGCCAGGAGCAAAAGCAACATTTAAGGTCAGCCTGGGCGACTCGGTGAGACACTGTCCCTGAAACAAACAAAAACTAACAACCCCCCCACAACTCTCAAGGGAAAGTAAGCAAAAGCAGACGTGAGGTTTAAGCGGGGTGTTTGCCACTTTCCATAGGATGAGCCAGGTCTCCAGAGAAGGTGATATTTGAGAAAAACCCTGAAGGAGCATTGAGAGGGAGTCAGGAGGATGCCTTACAGAAGAGAATCTTCCAGACACAGGAAAACCTAATGAAAAGACCCTAAAATAGACAGGCCTGTTGGTGCGTGCTTGTAACCCAGTCTTTGTGAGGCTGAGGCAGGATTGCAAATTAAAGGCCTGCTTGGGCTACAGAGTGAGTTCTGGGCCAGCATGCATGACAGTGATATAAAAAGGAAAAGGGGCTGGAGTGTATATAGCCCCCACTGAGGGGCTGGGGTGTGGCTCAGTGGTAGAGCACCTGCCTAGAATCCCCCAGTGAGGGGCTGGAGGTGTGGCTAAGTAGAGTGCTTGTCTATCCTACATAATACCCTAGATTCAATGCCCAGGATCAAAACTAACAAGCCCCCCAAAGATCTCAAGATGAGACATCACCTTATATTTTTTTTCAAGGAAGAGCAAGACCATAGATATCTGGATTTATTTATTAGCTTATAGGTTTCTTTATCTCTGTATTTTCTATTTCAAATAATTAAAAATAAAACATTTAAAATGGCAAATTGAGGGCTGAAGAGATGGCCCAGTGGTTAAGAGCACTGACTGCTCTTACAGAGGACCCAGGTTCAGTTCCCAGCATTCACCTGTGGCTAACAACCATTTATAATTCCAGTTCTAAGGGACCTGATGCCCTCTTCTGGCCTCTCTGAGCATTGCAGGTATGGGTGCACTTAGGTAGGCAAAACACTCATACGATAAAAAAAAATTTTTTTTTTAATTAAAAAGGCCGGGCGTGGTGGCACTTGCCTTTAATCCCAGCACTCGGGAGGCAGAGGCAGGCGGATCTCTGTGAGTTCAAGGCCCGCCTAGTCTACATAGTGAGTTCCAGGACAGCTGGGGGGCTACAGGGAGACCCTGTCTAAGACATACATACATACATACATACATACATACATACATACAATAAAAATTAAAAAGGAACTGGAGAGATGGCTCAGAGGTTAAGAGGCTGCTCTTGCACACACTCAGGTTTGATTTCTAGCACCCACATGGCAGCTAATAACCATCTGTAACTCCAGTTCCAGGGGATCTGACACCGCTTCTGGCCCCTGCGGGCATTGTACGACTTGGGTGCACTTACACACATACAGGCAATACACTCACTCATATGCATGAAATAAAAATAATAAATAAAATATAAAAAATTTAAAACCTCATACATATAAAATGTGGATAAATAAAAATTTAAAACTTCATGCGCGTAAAATAAATAACACAAACTAAAAATGAACAAATTAAAACAGTCATTTCCCCTTTAAGAGCACAAGTAGGCCGGGGGGTCAGCCTCGTGGCACCTTTTCCAAATTTTCCAATCTCCGCTTGGCATTTTCCATCCGGAGGTCTCCGATTGGACAATCTGCACCAATTAGAGGCTGCGGCAGGCCAAGCGCCCCGCCTAGCCCCGCCCCCAGGTAGGCCCCACCCACCGGCCGTTCATCGCCGTTGCTATGGCGACTGGTGGGCGGTGAGGGGAGGCGGGGGAAGCCCCGGATGTTCGTTGTGGATTGAACATGGCGGCGGCAGTAGCCGCGGCGGCGGCGGCGCGAGGCGGCTGAGGGCGGTGCGCGGGCTCCGAGTTCCGGGCGGAGCAGCTAGGCCGCCAGCGACCGCGGCGCCGATCCGGTAGGTTAGGGGGTGACTGTGCCGGAGGTTTTAGGGGTGAGCCCGGCGCGGACGGTGGGGCGAGCCGGTCCGCGGAAGGGGGCGGGGCCGGCGGGGTCAAAGTTCACTCTGGGAGGACAGGGTCGCATGGAAAAGGGTTGCGGGTCAAAACTGGCGGTTGGTGAGGAGTGGAGATCCGAGGTCAGACCAGCGAGGGGGCGTGGCCGAGTTTGAAGTACCTGAGAAGTTGAAATGCAAAGTGGGGGGTGCGTTGGACGGGATCGAATGAGTCTCAAAGAAAGGGGGGCTCGGGGTGGTTTAAGAAGAGGGTGTGCCTGTAAGGGTCGGAGGTCACAAACACGCGGGGTGGGAGGGTTGGAGATTGAACGGTCACAACCAGCAGAGTGTATGAATGAGTTTTAGGCTTGGGGGGGTGTCTTTTTTTTTAGGGGTTCACAGGGAGTAACTAAGGGGCACAAAGAGGGATCGATGATCATGGAGGGTCAAAAGTAGGGTGCATTACTGGGGAGGGGGACATCCAACAGATGTGCATCCTGGGGGTGGGAAAATGGAGCCCCCTCCCACAAATAATGAAGGCCACACGGTGGTAAAGTCCTGATGATAGGCTAGGCTCCCTTCTAGAAACGGAGCTTCAAGCCTCCGCTCATATATCACTTAGCCCTCAGTACCACCTCACAGGGTCTGAATCTATTATTAAAATACTGAGTGATTTGCCCCCGGTCAGCTAAAGAGTAAGTTAAGCGGAAGAGAAGGAATTCTGACTCAGAGTCCTTCTGTGGCCTGCTGCCTTTCAAAGAATCTCGGTGCTGGTTAATATTTAAGGAGAGCGTGTTGTGTGCCTGGGCTTGTTTTATCCTTACTACAGTCTTGTGAAATGAGTATTAGCTAGAAGCCCCATTTTACAGATAGAAAGAGTAAGGCCCAGAGTGCTCAGGCTGGGTGTGGAGGTCTGTTCCTGGAAGCAGACAGCCAGGCCACTCCCTGGGTGGGAGTGGAGTGTCTATTTGGCCTCCTTGGAAGGGTGTGACCTGGGAGGGGAAGTTCCCATGGGCCTGTGGGAGTGGTGTGTTGGTGGGTGGCCCAGAGTCTAGGAGTCCTGAGAGCTCTTGGGTGCAACCTGTGGAGTTCTCTGCTCTGAACTCCGTTAAGCTTTCCCTGTGGTCTTCGGTGGCTCCCACCTTTTAAACTGCTGCTGTTGCTATGGCTCCCAAACTCTAGCTCTAGGTGTACACTGCCTTTACCTGGTTTCTGGGGCACAAGTGTGTTGTGCGTGCTCTCCTTTTGTTAGAGGGTGGGTGCTCCTGGAGCATTGCCTGCCTGCAGAGTGCTCTGTGGGAGGCCATTAAGGCACTGTGCTGGGTGCTGGGACTGAGGCAAGGGGACAGAGCCACATAGCCTTACTCTCGGGCTTTTCAGTGTCTTCTGCGGGAACAGGCTAGGGCCACACCTCAGCCAGGGACACTGGCCACATGTCTGCAAATGGAGCTGGGGTCAGGAGAGTGCCCATACTCTGGGCCTGGTCCAAGGCTTGTGTCCCTGGAAAGTCCCTTGAGGAAGCTCTGAAGGGTGAGTAGGAGGGACAGGAAGGGACACCTGGCAGAAAGAGCAGTCTGTGCACAGGCCCTAGGCTAGTGCAGCGTCCAGGGGTTAATCCATAGGTCCAGATTGGGAGGGGCTGCTTGTGAGTGCCTCACTTTACTCCTGCAAATTGAGCATAATGCAAATACTGAGTGTGGAGGCCTGGCATACAGTAGGTGCTGTATAACCTGGCATACAGTAGGCATTGTGACATACAATAGACACTAACATACATTAGGCACTGGATAGCCTGCATACAGTAGGTGCTGTGGCATACAGTAGGCACTATGGCATACAGTGGGCACTAGGTAACCTGGCATACCATAGGTGCTGTGGCATATGGTAGGCACTGGGTAGTCTGGCATACAGTAGGCACTGGGTAGCCTGGCAAACAGTAGGTACTGTGGCATACAGTAGGCGTTCTGTAGCCTAGCATACAGCAGTCACTGTGGCATATAGTGGGCACAGGGTAGTCTGGTGAACAGTAGGTACTGTGGCATACAGTAGGCGTTGTGTAACCTAGCATACAGTAGTCACTGTGGCATATAGTAGGCACGGGGTAGCCTGGTGAACAGTAGGTTCTATGGCATACAGTAGGTGCTGTGTAGCCTAGCATACAGTAGGTGCTGTGGCATATGGTAGGCACTGGGTAGCCTGGCATACAGTGGGTGCTGGGGCATACAGTAGGTATTGGGTAGCCTGCATACAGTAGGTGCTGTGGAAACACTAGTCTTGTGGCTGTCTCCTGGCTTTCACCATAGTCACCACACCCCCTCCTGGCCCCAGCAGTATCAGGGAGCCGGCAGGCTGCCAGCCAGTTCTGTGAGGCTGCTCAGCCTCCCAGCTTTGTGGTGCCAGCTTGGCACAGACAGAGATGGGGCCTGTGCCATTGGAGACCCGGATTCAGGCCCATGCCTTGTTTCTGACCAGTTTGAGACCATGGGCAAGTGTTTTTGTTTTGTTTTGGTTTGTTTTTTCCTGGGGGAGGGGGCAGATATATCATGTGTCATTTAGAAGGGTGGCTCAGAGCCTGCTGGGAATCAAGCTGTTGATTTGGGGTCCCAAGAAGCCTGGCATCTGGAACAAGCAATTTCTTATTTGCAGCTTTGTTCTTTATGATCCATTGTAGGCTAGCGGGAAAAGCAGAGCTCTCAGTGTTAGGGAACAGCCAATCTGACTGCGACAGAGCACACCATCCATGCATGCCGTCAACCCACATCTCCACTGCCCTCCTTCCACCCACGCCACATTGGAACCACTGGTCGGCCCACTGCACAGAGCGGGAGCTAGCCTCCCTTCATCTGAGCTGGGGTGGTCTCAGTCCTTTGGAAGCCCCTGATGGCCCTCATGGCCAGCTTGGGCTGAGCACCAGTGCACAGACACAGTGTGCCAGTGACCACCTGCAGCATGCTGGCTTCATGCTGTGTAAGGCTGGGAAAAGTTATTTATTTTCCCCATGAAGATTTCTTCCTGATCGTTTCACAGAGGAATCATCTTCTCCTCTTGGTGACCATTTGGCCAGTTCCCTATTGGAGCTGTGATGTGCTGTGATGAACACTAGAATGTTTCCTTCTGGGCTGTGGCCACAGTGTGCCTTGGCTTATGATGTGTGTCTTTCCCTAGATGTTTGGAAACTGCTCTCCTAGGTGGATGTGCCATACATATCCCAACAGTTCATGAAGTTTCCCTTGCTGTACCACCTGCTTTGGGCATGTTTGTGGCCCTGGCTGAAACAGTTTCCTCAACCAGGACATGACTGGCTAAGGATCCCCCACTTTCCTAGACAGTGGGGAGCATCTGGGGAGATGACTCACTCATGTGACCCCCCCCTTGACTGCTGCCCACCAAATCCATGTTCAGGATAGAGAGGATACAGTGAAAGTTTTGACTGTTAACCTCTAGGGCATGCAGGACATTGGCCACAACTTTGATCCCACTTTCTTTAGGGGACAGCTCCAGGATGGACATTTGAGAAAGGGGCTGAACTAACTTGAACTTCCTGGAAGAGGATGGGAGCAGGATAGGCCAGGGTTGTCACACACTGTATGGTTGTTGGTCAGGGCTGACTAACAGCCCTTGGCAGACCTGCCAACCGTGGATAGTGATGGTCCAAGTGGGAGGCTCAGACAGAGGGGCGAGGGCCTGAGTGGAGTCAGCAAGGGCTTTCTGGAGAGAGACTTGGTTAATGAAGAGTGGCCAGGCTTAGAAAAGAGGTAGAAAACAGAAGTGGGTCCTGAAGGTACAAAAGCCCTGGGTCTGAGTGAGCGTGGGTATTCAAAGGCAGTAGGAATGGCCAGGGGACCTGACCAGGGGGTGATGTTGTGGGCAGGGAACATGTGGCAGGTGCAACAGGACTGGGGGACTGAGGTGAGGCGTGTGGGTTTCAGTCTGCATCCCAGGGAGGGCTTGAGCGGCATCACTTTCCCTTCGTAAAGACTGCCTAGGCTGACTGGGGATGGGACTCAGTTGGTAGAGTTGCTTGTCTAGTTTGTATGAGGCCCTGGGATCCTCCATTCCCAGCATGACAATAAAACCAGGCCTGTAATCTCAGGAGGTAGAAACAAGAGGACCAAAAGCTCAAGGTCATCATCCTTCATGACTGGACTATAAGAGACCCTGTCTCAGAAAACAAACAAACAAAAACCCAAGATCACCCAGGCTGCTGTCAAAGAGGGTGTGTCCTGCTGGGGGGCAGCAGGAGACTAAGGAGGACTAGTGACAGAGGCAGGTTCTGTGTGAATTCTTCCCCAGTTAACTCACAGCATCTTCACAGCAGCCTAGGCAGTAGGTACTACAACAGGCTCCACTTCAGAGGCATGAACACGGACCCAGAGAGAAGACCTGCCTAAGGCACCCAGCAGGCAAGTGGCAGAGGCAGGATTTGAACTCCGACTTTAGGGCTCCAGCACTGATCATCCTGCCAGCCTCCATGATCTGAATGGGACACTGGATAGTGCCCATCTCTATTCCCTTGGCCCTTACCCAGGCCCCCTTTCAGACAAGCTCCCTGGGGACCCATTGATGTGAGAAGTGCTGGATGCTCAGTCGTTCCCTCCAGTACCCTCAGCGCCCTGCCCTTCCATGTGTGTCCTGTGCATCTCTTCTTGGCCTATAACTCATGGCGAGCTAGACTTCCTGGCCAGACGCCGGTCAGGGGTGTCCCCGGCATCTGTTTCTCGCATCTTCCCAACAGGTTGATGGCCACAGATGCCGTGAGTAGGAAGCCGTTCCTTCCAGATCACAGCCAGGGAAATGGGCCACCCCCACCATGCATCCGGGGCCAGGGCTTATCGTCTGCCAAGGCCTTGACCCACAGGAGGGTGGGGGGGACTGGTGAGAAAAGTTAAAAGGGGAACTCCCCTAGATCCCAGGGGAGCCCTTGATGGCAGATACGACAGAAGCCACAGCTCCCTGAAGCCTGT